TGTGCCGTGTACATGCCCCGCAGCAGCCGCTTCATCTGCTTGTTGAGCATGCGATCCAGCGGTTGGAGGAGAGGAGTCAACCCGCCTGGGATGAAGATGACGATGGTGTTGGCTTCCCTCTTGAGGGCCGCGATGAAGCCATCGTCTTTGTGGCACTTGAAGCCGTCCAGCACCGAGATGCATCGGCGCTGCCGGGCGATGCTGCCGTTGTTGGGACGGAGCTTCCAGCTGTCCTTGATCCAGAGCTTGCACTCCCGCAGGTCACACCAGCTCTTCTCCTGCACCCCGAAGGACATGCCTCCCACGGGGAGCCCGTGCTTGGAGCGGTTCGCAGGAAGTACCTCCCACGCGATAGAGTTCTTCCGCGGCTGAGTCGCCTTTCCCTTCCCGGGCGTGGCAGGCGGGACGAAAGGCGTACCCTTGAAGATGATGCGCAGCGGGACCTTCTTGCCATCCGCCGAGACAGCCAGGCAGAGCGTGAAGCGTTCCTTCTCTTTTCCTGGTGGGGGGGGGGGATACACGATGTTGGGGGGTAGGGGAGAGGTTTCAAAGTTGTGCGAATGCAACAGACGCCGGCTGAAATGGATGCAAACGGTAGAATTACGATTCCAGGAACATGTGAATAATATCACGACCAGAACAAATATCCGGCCGACCGCAAATACGCACGACACTTCATGGCAAAAGTAAGGAAAACACTGAACACAGCAGTCATACTCTAACGTCCGGTGGCGATGCAGGCATCCTTCGCACCGGTGTTTTCCAGAGTCGTCTCCACCGGCATCTCGTGCTGGACTGGCGTCTGGTCCATGTTGCCCAGTTCTTCGAACAATTTGTCGGTCACCAACTCCAGATGGATCAGGTCCTCCCCTCTGATGGGGCTCTCGCCAGATGCAGGCAGGTAGCGCTGAGCGTAGATCTCGCCAGCACGCTCCAGGAGAGCCTTACGCAGCTTCATCAACGTCGCCCACGCCATGCCCTCGTGTCCCTTCGGTAGCTTTTGGCCCACGCTTGTACGCCGGCGGATGCTGAACTTGTTCCGTTTGCGGAAACGTTGGTACCAGCTCTTGAATTTGGACTTGAAAGCCAACGCCTCCTCCGGCTTCGGCTTGGCTGTCAGCCCGCCAAGGGCATCCGGCTTCAACTCAAGCAGCTTGTTCATGACCGCCATGCTACCACAGCCGACGTGATGCTTGCGCTGATCGTTGATGAATTCCACCAGGTCTTCTTCGATGTCGGCTGTCGAAGCTTTACCTCCAGCGTGAATTTGCTTGGCCTTAGACAGCTTAGGGTTGGCGCTGACGTTGGCTCTGAGCGATTCCTCGTCGCGCACCCACGCGACGATACGCCTGCGGGGCACGTCGAGAACTTTCGCTGCACCGCTGTTTCCCACCGGTTTTCCGTCCTCGCAGACGACGCGTGTGAATGCGACCGCTTTGAGTTTGAACCCGACCGGGTAGCTACCTTTCTTTCCGACTTTTGCTCCTGACCTTTCAGTTGGGAAGCCGGGGTCTGGGTACTTGCTTTTCTTGCTGTCGGGGTCATTTGCGGCCAGCATCTCGTCGATAGCCTCTCCTGAAGCCTTCGGGTCGGTAGCGGCAGGTCCCTGGTCTACCGAGGGAGAACCACCAGCACTGGCCTGTGAGGCCTTTGAGGCCTGTGAGGCCTGTGACGCGGAGGCAGAGCCCGCGCTCGCGTCCTCCGACATCGTAGCTAACGTGTTGCGTGTGTACGAGGTACAAACGGGACACAACCCTTGGGTGCGGGGGAATTGGAACAAAAAGGAAACCGTCGCCTAGGTATTTCGCCGCCTTTTTCTTGTTTCACCGCGTCTCTTTTTATTGTTGCCGGGTATGTGTGTGTGTGCGTGTTTTTTTCCTGCGTTTTGACGGATCATGCAGGACTACCTTTCACGTAGAGTACTGCAATATCCGCTGTGATTTCATTTGGAGCGCACATATCGGAGTCTTCGTACAGGGTGTGCGTTCAAAGCACCTCACCTTACCCCCCTTCAATTTTGTTCAATACCGCACCTATCGGCGTCATCGCACGGGGTGAGCGATAATACTGTACAACCAAATCATTTAATTCGATTTCCGCACATGTATCGGGGTCTCCGCACATATCGGCGTCTCCGCACCCCTGTGCGAAGAACGAAGACATTTAAAAAGGCGACCGCACTGTGTGCGAAGACCCCGATTCTTACGGTAATTCTTGCTTGCGGTAGCGTATCCCATGTCTTTACCCTGCCCCCTCCCGTTTTTTCTGTTCCCCACGGCTCATGCGCAGCAAATCAACTTACTCCCGTGCACATGTAAGGAACAGCAATGTCCCTTGAAAACATCAACCATTCACCCATCCGGATTGAATGTGGCCAATGCATGGGTCTTGACCTTCATATTCGTTACCCCTCCCCCTTCCCCACCCTCTGGGAACAACCCTCTGTTCTTTCCAACACGCACGGTCAATGGTCTTTAGAGTTAGGACATGCAAAAGATAAAGAGTACAACCCCCGCCCCCCGCAATATCTCGCCTCTTTTCCCCCCTCTCGAACAGCCATCCAGACCCTCTACTACTTCCTCGCCCTCGGCTCTGCGGTCCACCTGTGGCTCAACAGCGGCCGCAAGCGCCGGGCGGGGTGGCTGTGGTCCTCTCGAGAGCTGGAAGGGGTAGGAGGGGGCCCCGCGATGAAGAGTAATGGGGTGGGGAGAGCAGGGAACGACAGCGCGCGCGACCACTCCAAGGAGAAAAGGGAAGTCCTCGGCAGTAACGCGGCGGCGGCCGTCGAGGCTGGGAAGGGGGCTCTCAAGCTGCCGAAGCCTGTGAGTGGTGGCGGGGGGGTGGCGGCAAAGCGCGGCGGCGACGGCCATGGAGCTGCTGCGGCAGGAGGAGGGAACGGAGAACACATTGTGAGGCGCAAGTTCTTTTTTTTCGCGCAATATTGGGGGAAAGAGATGTGTGTTATTCGTGGATATGGTCATCGCGATCTGCGCACGCTTTTTTTTGGTGCATTTTTGTGCCTGCTCTGTAGCGAACGGTTACAGTATCTACGTTCCGTAGAAGTCTTTCTCTCTGTTTTCACGGACACCAAGATAAACGACACTCTCCGCTTTGAGGACGAAATGTTTTAAGCATGGTGCCCCGCAGGATGTAAGCAAAAATGGGAGGTGTTCTCGTAGCGGCAATTGCCGGCCGTAGGGACATTTTCGAGAAGAACATGAGTGTCCTATCAGCGTGCCGGGGTGTCTAGCGGCTAGGGTGAGATGGTACATACCCTCTCGCGGGAGGGCCGGGCCGGAGGGACCCCTGGGGGTTGTTGGTCGCTTCGCCCCCCGAACGTCCTCAACAAGCTCAAGACCGCTCTTGTACGCCACGATAAAAGAGGATGTTGGTGGTGAGGTGTGTGCTCCGACGTGTATTATTGTTTTGTGGCGTGGCGGTGTCGCTATGCATGCCATCGAGAGAACGTCTGACAACCCAGATCCATCTGTTGTTGATAGCGCACTCTGGCTCACCAACCCGCCACGCTCCTTGTTGATGGCTCGTGGTCCTCTCGAGCACAACTATTATATATAACATGTACGGAGTATAATACAACCTCCAACCATCCACATCCCCTAAAAAAAAATTTACCACCGCCGCTTCTGCTGCTGCTACTGCTGCTGCTGCTGCTGCTGCTGCTGCTGCTGCTGCTGCTGCTGCTGCTGCTGCTGCTGCTGCTGCCTCTTCTGCTTCTGCTTCTTCTGCTTCCGCTGCTGCTGCTGGTTGGTTGGTTATCGTTGCCGTTGGGTGGCAACTCGCAGGCTCTGGAGCGCTGGCGCAAGCTGCAGTGGGGCCTGTTGATCGTGTGCGCGGACTCGGCGATAATCGTGACGGGCGTCTACTGGACGTTCCTCTACAATGGCTGGACAGACCAGCTCAACCTGCAGGTGACGACGGACAACCGAATCCTCTCACCCTCCCCAGCCAACGGCCTAGCGGCGAAGGCGTGCTAGACATGAGTACTCTAAACAAGAGTACGCCTCCCCTCCTCCACCAATGGTTCAACCGCGAAGGCATGGAAAACATGGCTACGCCCCCCCTGCCCGATCGATCGTCACGAACCAGAAGCAAAGGCTTACATTTTCTAGAGACCTCGGCTGACTTTTGTTTTGACTTGTGACATGTGCTAGTAGTGCGAAACGTCTTTGTTGAGCGGTCAATGCGTGGCAGCCTGCCGCTGCTGTTGCTTCGCGAGATATCGGGTCTGTCGTTGGTTCGCAAAATGGGCGGTCCGCCGTAGGTACGTGTTTTGCGTGAGCAACGATTGTTTGGACCCACCCCACCTGCCGGTGAGAACCCGGCCTGCTNCCCCCCCCCCCCCCCACCTGCCTCTTGGCGAAGTAGACGAGCCAAGAGTTTGAAAGCGGTAGATCCATAGAGGGTTTGTAGTTGGACCAACCTCACCTTCGGGCTTCCTTGAAGCAGGAGTAAAGTTTGAAAGCAATGTAGAGGCCAAGAAACGGCTTCCACAATACGGGACTAGACTGCAGTGCACACAGGCCTTCCTTGTTGACGTCCTATCCCGCCAACGCGTTTCTCGGTTAAGATACGTCTTGTAGGGTTGCGGCTTTTCCTCGGCGGCGGTCCGTCCTTTCGACACTCGTTCAACGGCACGCATGCACATGCAGAATGCGCCACCACTCTTGAGAGGTTCCTCTTTCTCGGCCGAGGGTTGTGTTCTTATGTCCTCTGAAGGTCATCAACATGTGCGTTTTCTTGTAGCATAGAAGATTTTTGATGCCGCCATCACAAGCGGGTCTCCCTTCTGTACCCGTTCGATTTTTTTTTTATTTCATCTTGAATGTTTGTGACTGCCAGGTTCTGAAGATTAAGATTTTGGCGCGTTCTGCATGCCATGCACAACGAACGCCATTTTTTTTGTTGTGTCTATACATGTATTTCTTTTGATAATCCGCCTCCCCCACATTCTGCTTGCCGGCCTGTGCTCTTCCTTGTCTTTGGCTTGTCAAGATCCACTTGTTCAACGCTCTATTCATGGCGGCGAACGTCTTTATCGGCGGCTCTCCCTTCAAGTGGGAGCACATCGGCATCGCCTACATCTACGGATTCCTGTGTGAGTTTTCGTGGGAGGCGTCATGTTGTTGTTGCGGCTGCTGCTGCTGCTGCTGCTGCTGCTGCTGCTGCTGCTGCTGCTGCTGCTGCTGTCTGTGGTGGGTGCTTGCGATGAACCGCGTTTTTTTTTCGTGGAATCTCATGTTCATCCTTCGGTTTAGGCTGGGTAGCAAAAACTACCTCGTGCTCACACACACAAAACCACACCAAAATGACCTTTAGAAGCATTTTTTGTTTTCAACCGCACTGAGCCTGACGTCCTTGCATTTGGTCGGCGGGTTAGAGCGGTCGACGCCAATAAAAAACAACCACCCCCCTCCCAGCAACACATACGCGTGCACTGAACACCTACCTCGTCTCCGCCTTGTTACTCCAGACCTAGGCTTCGACATCCTGTACTACATCTTCGGCTCGGTCTTCGGCTACGAGGACTCGAGGGTGATCTACTTCTTCCTCGACTGGGGTGGTGCCCCCGGGAGGGCCGTGACAGTGACGCTGTTCCTGCTATCGGTGGGGCTGCCGTTGTCTCACGGGCTGCACGTGGCGGTGGCCTGGGGGAGGGACTGGGTCAGGAGGATGCGGCCCGGCTGGGGCTGGCAGGTGACGAGGAGGCAGGCGGCAGTTTGGCGGTTCGGTGCAGCTGCTGTTGGTGGCGGCAGTAGTTGCTGTTGTTGGTTTTGCTGTTGGTTTTGCTGGTGCTGTGGCTGGGGGTGTTGGCGGTGTTGATTTCCACGTGGCATCCGACGTGCCAAGATGGTCGTGGGTTACTCTCGTTAAAACAGAGAATGGACCCGGACTACTTACGCGGTAACGCGGTAAGAGTGCCCGCGCGGTTGTTGATGTTGCAGGAACACCTTGTTGCAGTTTTTTTGTGTGTGTGTGTTTCTTTTCTTTCTGCAGGATGCTCCACCACTACGAACGAAACATGATTTTCTTGTCGCGTCGCACAAACCTCACCAAGCACGATTTTGCGATCTCTGGCCAACACTCGTTATCACACAATAGGCGTTCGCAGGAACGTACGTTTGATCCGACCTGCTTGCTTATTCCTGGCGTGTTTTGTTGCGCCGCGGACATGCTTCGATTGTTTCTTGAATAGAGTACTTGCGTAACATAGTACCTATGCAAAGAGACTACCCGTTACAGAGAAAATATCGCCGTCGAAGGGCACCTATTCAAAAGTTGTGATGTTGCTCATTTACCAGGGCACCGACGAAGAAGACTTCGAGAGGGCGATGGAGATGAGCGGCCTGAGGGACACGGATGTCTGGGCGCCACTGACGGGGGAAGGCTTCGACAGCGAGGAGGAGGAGATGGGCGGCGCCTCCGTGTTCCACGACTACCACCACGCCACTGCTAGGGGTCCGAGCGGCAGCGGGAAACGCGGCGGTGCTAGTAGAGCCGTTGCTGGTTTCCGCCAACAAGAGAAGAAGAAGCCTGACGGCGTGGGCGCGAGTAGAGGTAGTGCTGCGGATTTGTACGCAAGATAACACCTGCGGTGGGAGGTGTCAAAAGCCGAACGGACTGTGGCCTGTTTTCGTCCGTGAACAAGCGCTAGGCCGTATGTTCACGTCGACCATTTTGTCTGGATAACTTCGTCCAAGTCTTTGCGCGAGTGACTTTGGGTGAAGCGTAGTTTATTTTGTTGTGGCCTCGTGAACCGTTGTTTTGTGTTGTGGTCTTGCCGTGATTGAAGAACTTGTTTCATCCGGTGGGGGAAACGATAAAGGTTTCTTGGTTGTTGTTGCTGTCTTCTCCATACATGCACGTGGAAAAGTGCTGCGTTTCTACCCCTCGCAGCAGCAGGTGAGCTAAGCGCATTGGTGAAAATTGTTTTCTACCGCGAAGACATCAAGTATCTTCCAGGGAACAGGGTGGGGCGGGGGGGGGGTGTACTCATAGTCGTGCATGCCGTAGTCCTTAGACCATCGACCTCGCATCCCTACAAAGCCGGGACGGAGCGCGCCGGGTGCTCACCGGACCAGGCTCTCACATCACCAAGCGCGAAGCGCCGTGAGATATTCGGCGAGTCGCATGAAGGGTGCGCTGCATCCTGCTAACGGTGTTCGGCATCTTGTGCTTACTTCCTTGCATACGGATGACAGCTGCGTACGACTTAATTTATTTTCTGGTGTTTTCACTTCCTGAGACACTCGTAAGCACTGTGTGACTGCCTCGAGGGTGCTCGACCATTTAACACAACGTGGTGCGATCATCCCCCTTGCGCAGAGTGAGGGTTCTCGACCCCGCACGACATGATCTACTCGACCACCATTATGGTTACCGCCAAAAAATAACGGGGTTATCGCCCGAGGGCGCCCAAGGGCGGGGGGTGATCATAGACCTGTGTCAAGGACCGACAAACGTAGGTCTGCTTATGTCATGGAAGGTTGGGACCAGCGGTACCTTTTGGCAAATCTTTTCTATCACCTAATACTTTGCTTGGTGTTCTTCCCCGTGGCGGGGGTGTGCGTGCGAGCGCGGGTTTTGCCTTGAGCAAATCTACCGGCGCACAGACGGTTTCCGGAACAAGGATGATACTGCATGGTGCCGCCATGCGTCGGGTCTCGGCGGCGCATGCGTTAACTTGTGTTTCCGTCGGCTTTTCCGAAGACTTTCTTACTGATTCTACTTGATTGTGTGTGTTGCCTTCACACGCCGACTCCTTCCTGCCCATGGGCACAAATAGCTCCCTTTCTCCCTGTGCGAAGGGAGGCCTTGCTGCTGGCGCCGACATCATCAGGAGCTGTGTGGGCATTACGTTGTTCGATAAATTTGCATCATTTCTCGCTACTGACAAATTAGTGGTGTGCGATGTATGGTACAGATAAGGGCGTTTTTTGCACTTCGACCGCAGCAGTGCGTGGTCTGCGTGTGCTTGGCTCCACGTCGTACGCCGCGACCCACGCTGCTGGCGGTGTGTCGAGTGTTTTTTTTTACGTGATGTGGCTCTCCGAAAAACTCCGCCGATGTCTGTGATTTGTTTCCCTGGACGGGACGTGGGGGAGTGGGATGGGGGTGGAGTGGGGGTGGGGGCTTCCGTCCCACCTCTTGCAATTGTTCGCAGTCGGTTGCTCTCTCTCGCGTATGCAGTAATCTGCCAGTATTCAGCGGAGAGTCACGGTGGTGGTACTACTCTACGGTACCTGAGGAGGGTGTGTCCCGACTTGACTGCACGACGTCAAACCAGGGGGGGAGAAGAAAGCCGTCTCGTCGAGAGCTTTTCGAAAATATATAATTTCGTTCATACATCCATTAATTTATTTTGTTCATACATCCTGAGTAATCGAGCCTTGAAGATCGGTCCAGAGGGTGTGTTATCTTGTGTCTTATACCGTAGCCGATGCCGCCGCAGCAACCCCCCGGGAAAAACGAAGTAACAACGTATGAACGTGTGCTGCTGCTGCTGCTGCTGTGGCACACAGGGTTGTTGTGCCGTGTCCAGTGGCACCGTTCGAAAAAAAAAAATGGTCGACGTCGTCTTGTCAAACGTGTCACACGGCCGTGACTCGCATTGTTCTCCCATCCGGGATCGTGTGCATACCGTAGATGACACAAGATAACACACCCCCTGGACAGATACCTAAATCTCGATTTCTCGACAGCAGAAAGAGTTACAGCGCGGAAAACGGTGAAGTTGAATTGAAGCTGTCTTGTCTAGAACTTTCCGAAAATGTATTGTTTCCTTTATGCATCCTCTTCGTTGTCGCACAACAGAGCTTTGAAAACTGGTCCAGCGGGTGTGTTATCTCGTGTCATATAGGGTATGCCTGCAAACGGCAGGACGAGGGTTATTCCTCCGCTGTTCGTTCGTGCATTTGAACGCAGAGTAGGTTCCATGCGACATGCGGTAAAAGGTGACAAAAAGAACCTTGAAAATTTGTCATTCTCGCAAGAAAACAAGGAACGCGGCGCAGAACGACGATGGAGAGAAAAGTTCGATCGACGTTCTTTCGCAGATTTCTGTTCTCTCTCCTCGCGACGAAGTTTGTCAACTGCGGTGACGCGGTTTTCTTGTGTCTTTTTTTCACCATTAGGAGAGCTAACACCGCGTGATTCGCGCAGCAAGCACTTTCGTGCCCCGCTCGGGGGGGGCAAAAGAAAGAAAACGGTCATCATCTGACCGTTTTTCTTCCCCAAAACAGAAGCAATCAGCGTGTTGTACACATGTCTTGTTGCCTGAGTTATTTCGTTCTCAATGTACTGCGTACGCCGTCACCACATGCAAAAAAGCAAGGAAAGCCGAAGCATGTATTGCAAAATGCAAGAAGTCGCCGACAAAAACACACATCGTGTGCACGCAGGCCCCCGTCTGCTCAGCCACTACCATCACTCCATCCGCCCACAAAGAGGACTGTACACACTTTTTTTTCCGTTTAAATCTTCACCCTCTTTCTATACAAAACCAACCAAACGGCCTCGGATCCAATCCTCCCTCGCAATACACGCCAAGGCGCGAAACCAGGCTTGCAAGCGCAATGATCACAAAAATCAAGATAATTTTTTAGGGCGTCATCGGGGCAACCACCTAAACCACGCAAAAAAAAACTTGCTGTATCATCTTAGCCCGGCCAGTTCTCCGTCATCTTTCGTCTATCTGTTCATTGTGCAGAACTGCAATCACTCACTCTTTGTATTGTTAGATTTCAATGTCTCAGCCCGTTCGAATGAATACCCGACCCCGAACGCCCAACAAGCAGGAGAGTATAAACGAAAAAGCGGGGAAATCGTTCATTGGCTCTCGGTTTTACGTGCCTATCCCCCCCCCCCTCCACCGCCACAGCTTACCCCGCAAGAACACACACAATTTTTCGTGTGGTAAGAAAGTATTCTGCGTGTTATTGGTCTACCACTGCTGCTGCTTTCGCTCAGAATCCGAGGGCTGCAGAAAGGTGTGCTTCCAAGAGCGCGGGCGCACCCTACACTACCTAGAAACGAAGCAGCGACGCCAAAAACGCAAGCAAATGGTTCTTCAACACCCGCGCAAAATTCCCCATGTTTCTCCCTCCCTCTGCATCGCCAGGGGCATGAAAAGAGACAAGTCACAGAGCAAAAAACCGTCAAACCTGTGAAGTACGGCACCTTGCACGTGAAATCTCCCCCCTCCCTTCCCGACGAATCAAACTAATCCCCCAGCATGTGATTGTTTTGCCACCCACACATTGCCATATCTAAACAATATGCATTCCACGTTCGGGGCTACAAAAGTACAAGTCATGAGGTTAATGACATCGCGGCCGCATCTCCCTCCATCTGCATCATCTACCTGTTGTGGTCTGTTCGATGGCATCGTTACCGTCCGATCTTTCAGAAAGAAAGGGACACGCAGACGACAACAGATAAAACGAAAGAACGAACGAGGGCAAGAAACTTTAACAGAATGATATGGGGTTCCGTCCAGTCAGCGGAGTCATCCTCCCCCCCCCCCCCCC